ATATATTTTTATGGTAATACCAAAAATTCTTAATTTAAATAAAATTTTTTAGTTTGACATCGTGTTTATCTACGTTTATCTAATAGGTGACCCCAAACCTCCCAGGCCTAACAAACAGGTGCCTCGACTGTATAGCTTCTCTACGTCACCCTATGGTGAAAGAGTGCTACTGGTTTTGAAAGCCAAAAATATTAAGTAAGCACATTTATTTTTAAAAATCATTTATAGCTTACTTGATATAGTACGAGTAAACATAGCATGCGCAATTAATTAATTAATTGATATTTATAATGAACAGGCACGAGACAGTAAACGTGCACTTGGGTAATAAACCGGACTGGTTGACAACATTAAATCCCGCGGGTAAGATACCGGTGCTCGAGTGGGACAGGGATGACAAAATTATATGCGAATCGGACGTAATTTGCGAGTTTCTGGACAATGATTACCCAAACACCGGACCACAACTCGGGGCTACCGATCCTCACCAAAAGGAAAAGGACAGGGAGTTTGCCGCCGGTGTGGACGAGTATATGAAGAACTTTCACGCGGTTATGAACGTTAAGGAAAGTCCTACCAAACTCTGGCCGACCATTCAGATTGAGCTCAAAAAGTTTGACCAATTTATAGCCAATAGAAGGGATAATAAAAAGTTTTTATCAGGTATTCAATGATAAGTTTTAAAAGTATTTTCTATCTATTGAATAATTATTTTGTAGCTTTTAGATACCGTTCCCTTGTTTTAAATATAACTAATTTTTGGTGTATTTTTTTGTAGGGGATGTCAGTCCCGGTCTAATCGATTACATGGTGTGGCCTATCGTTGGGCGCCTAATAGCCACCATTGATGTCACTTCCGGTGGTGTTTCGGCTGAGAATTATTTGCCTAAAGAGTTGCCGGCTATACATGACTACCGGCGCCATATGCTTGGGGATAGTGTGGTCAGGGATGTCAGTCCCACACTCGACCAGTTAGTGGCGTTTTTGAAGATTATAATTGCGTATAAAAACATGTAAAAATTATAGTTATACAATATTTGTAATTAACATATTGAAAATATTAAATATATTCATATATTTTTAACATAACATATACTCGTACTTATTATAATTATAACGCAATTATTGTATCACTTATGTATAATTAATTTGAGTTTTTATTATTACTATTAATGTAATATATTGATATATTGTGATAATATTACATATTAACTAGAAATATCATTGCATTTATAATTTATTGGAAATTAATAGTTTAATTCAAAGTATGTATTTTTGTAACAAAAAAAATACATTATATTAACATTTTACATTAAATTCTTATAAATTCATTGCATATCCTTTAATAATTGTTATTATTTGTAATCTTAATTTAGCATTGATAATGTTGTTAGTGCAATTACACTTTATGTACTATTTACACTATAAAACATACGCTTATTAAAAAAGTTAAATGATTGCAACATGATTGTAACTAGACAGAAAAATTAATAAGTGTATATAACGGGATAGTTTATGTCATGTTGTTATCTACCAAATATAAGCATGCATTTGTTTATAGTAGTGCTAATTATGCAACTGATAATAATACCAAATGATAGTTAGAAAACAATAAATATAAAAAGTTTTGCAATTTTTTAATTGTTAATCATAATCAATTTTTCTAATAAACAAGCTATTTTTATAATTAATATTATGACATCAACTTGTATACATCAAATTAACTGGATGCAAACATCTTATTTAAAAGTGTTTCCTTTTAGCATAACTTTACGGTACTGCCGGGCGTGGGCCAGTTGTATATCGTAGGGTACGCACACTTTTTGGACAGTCGGGTCGGCCAGCAATTGTTTTCTGTAATCATAAACTGTGGGCAACTCTTTGCGTAGGAATTCCTCCGAGTTATGGTCAGCGAGGTCTATGAACTGGGGTAAGCGCTCAATGAATGGCCATATGGCGTAGTCTACCAGCCCTGGTAATGAGGCACCTGTAGTAAATTAGAAAATTAACAATGTTGTTAGTTTAATTATGATAGTTAAATTAAATTATATATATATATATAATTTAATTATATATTGTGTAATTATTTATTTATGTATAAGCTAGGCGCAATAACTTTTTATATAACCTTATTAAGATCCGACCTTGATAATTACTAATACAGTACTTTATTTATTTAGAATCTTATATGAGACCTATGTTTTCAATTAAAAACTAATCTAACATAACTACCCAATTATACTAGTAATTGCTAAAAATTTTATACATTTTATAAAATACAAAATCAATAGTAATTTAACCCAAACATCAATTAAATAAATTAATATTTTTAAGGTAAATGTATGTCTGGGAGAGCCTACCGGATAAAAACTTCTCGTTGCCCCTCCTCTTAGCCAAGAGTTTGTCCACTTTTTGCAGATTCTCCGTAATGTCTGTCCAAACGTCGGCCAAGTTTTTGGTGGCATATAAGGTATACAAACGGCTGTAAGAGTTACTGAACGTCTCGATGATCACCCTATCGCTGGCCCTCTGAAAGGCATCCTTAGCCTGTAGAGGCCTCAGGTTGGGGTAGACCTCATCCAAGTACTCGCTCACTATTTGCGACTCGTATAGGATCTTGTTGTCGGGTCCGATCTCGAGCACCGGTACTTTTCCCAGAGGGTTGCGCTCCAGGAGCCACTCAGGTTTGTCCCACAGATTCACGTTTATTATCTCATGGCTGGGAAATAGGTGTGAAATACATGAAATTAGTTTCATAAAAGGTTTTACGCACTAAATGTATATTACATATTAATGTATCACCCTATTATAAGTATAGTATTGCAGTATTCACTACAGTATGATAAATGCCATTATATAAATTATATAAATAATAAACACATTTATTATATACTATTATATTATAATATAATATTTAGCAAAACATAAGTTTAAATTACATGAAAACTACTGATTAAAACAATTTTAATGCTAGCTACTGGGGTTTTAATATTTAGATTACTTAATTCTGTGATAAATTATTTCTACTAGATGATATTGAAACTATAGTTAAGTAGTTCGTTATTCTTGAGAAATAATTTATTTTGTCATAAAATTGTGGAAAAAAATCTAATAAATAATGTATTAATTGATTGAATACTCACTCAATGCCTTTGGCGGCCAATACTAACAGCGCTCTCTCGGCGTACGGACACGTCTGGTAGCTATACACACGCAGTTTGGTTAGGTCGGTGCGGGCCGGGAAGGGGTCACCTATTTATTAATTTATTTATTAGTTAATTTTTAAAATAATTTTTTAAAAGCAATAACTAGCACGCTATGTAATAGACACTTTTCCATAGCATACTAGTAATTATAAGTTCATTATAGACGACTTAATGTAAACCTTTTTTGTAGTTACTGGCGGCTATTTCAGTCATGATTACAGTTACTATCAAAAACTTTGTAAATTATGCACGATACAATTAAATATATTCGAAAACACTTGAGGTTTGTTAAAAAAATATTTGTTAATTTATATATATATACCAGAAAAAAACTTTGATCGAGCATGTATGTTTCGTGTTCATACAATAATTTATTATTCAGTTGTTTAATTGTTTATTAATGTATTATTGGTTGCTAAATTTGGTAAATTGTAAATGGTAACCTTGGTAAATGAGAGTATGAAACTTCAATGTTTAACTGGTTTAAACCTTTTACACCTTTTGTACTTTTAGCACTTTTAGCACTTTTTTGCACTTAACACGTGACCATGCGCAATGGTAATTTTAGCATATGAACATTTTGGCATTGTAGAATAGCAGAATATAATAAATAGTTTAATATAAATTATTCATAATAAACTATATTCTCTGTAAAATATAATACATATTTTAAACCATAGTGTTGCAAATTGCTTAATTTTAAATCATGGTGTTGTTTTGATACAATGTAGTGAAACCTATTCAATAATAAAAATGTAAACCAAGTTTTAAAACATTACTAATCAAAATCATTTCGTGTATAAAGTGATCAAATAATATCGCAATGTTTAGCAAACTTTGGTTTTTAGGTCTAGTTATAAAGACCTGGGTGAGACACCCGAGCTATTTTAATTTTTTGTCCGGAACACTTAAAAAGGGTATGGAACCATATTATTTTATATCATGTTAATATATTACTGTATTTATATTTTATATAGTATCATTATATTTTATCATAAAGGGTATGATACCATTTTATTATATTACATGTTAGATGTTATCATTATATTTAATTTATAAAATTGGTCGGTTAATTTGTAAATCTACATTTATCTAATAGGTGATTCAAAACCTCCCAGGCCTAACAAACAGGTGCCACGACTGTATAACTTCTCTATGTCTCCCTATGGGGAAAGGGTGCGACTCGTATTGAAAGCCAAAAATATTGAGTAAGCACATATTTTTAATAAAATCATTTATAGTGTAGATGATAAATCGCTAATTATTACTACTAATTATTACTAACTATTAATTATTACTAAATATTAATAGGCATGAGATAATAAACGTGCACCTGGGTAATAAACCGGACTGGTTGACAACATTAAATCCCGCGGGTCAAATACCGGTGCTCGAGTGGGACAGGGATGACAAAATCATATGCGAATCCAACGTAATTTGCGAGTTTCTGGACAATGATTACCCAAATACGGGACCACCACTTGGGGCTACCGATCCGTACCAAAGGGAAAAGGACAGGGAGTTTGCCACAGGTGTCGACGAGTATATGGAGACGTTTCACGTGGTTTTGCATACTAAGGACAGTCCGACCAAACACTGGCAGACCATTCAGACTGAGCTCAAAAAGTTGGATAAATTCATAGCCAATAGAAGGGATAATAAAAAGTTTTTATCAGGTATTCAATGATATGTTTTAAAAGTATTCTGTATTTTAAGGGATATGCATTCTGTAGTTTAAGATACCGTTCCTCTGTTTTAAAAATAATTAATTTTTCGTGTATTATCAGGTGATGTCAGTCCCGGCCTAATTGATTACATGGTGTGGCCTATCGTTGGGCGCCTGATAGCCACCATTGATGTCACTTCCGGTGGTGTCTCGGCTGAGAATTATTTGCCTAAAGAGTTGCCGGCTATACACGACTACCGGCGCCATATGCTCGGGGATAGTGTAGTCAGGGATGTCAGTCCCACACTCGACCAGTTAGTGGCATTCATAAGGATTGTAATCGCGTACAACAAGTTGTAAAAATTATATTTATAAATATTTGTCATAACATATTATTTTTAATTATAACGCAATTATTGTACTACTTATGAATAAGTAATTTGAGTTTGTATTATTAATATTAATGTATTATGAATAGAGATATTTTAAAATTGACTGCAAATATCGTTGCATTTATAATTTATTGGAAATTAATAGTTTAATTCAAAGGATGTATTAAATTTTTAACAATAAATACTTTATATTAACATTTTACATTAAAATTCTTATAAATTCATTGCATATCCTTTAATAATTGTTATTATTTGTAATCTTAATTTAGCATTGATAATATTGTTAGTGCAAGTACACTTTATGTACTATTTATACTTTACATAAAATATGCGCTTATGTATTAAATATACCAGTAATTATAGTTAGGCGGGAAAATTAATAAGTGTTTATAACGGGATTGCTTATGTCATGTAGTTATCAACCAATTATAAAAACATGCGCACCGGTATTACATCTGTTTATAGTAGTGTTAATTATAAAACTAATAATCATACAAAATAATATTTTATAATTAGAAAACAATAGACATAAAAAGTTTTGCAAATTTTTTAATTGATAATCATAGCCAACTTTATGGATTGATACAACACTAAATGAACCCTACTAATGCTAAATTTGTGGCCGGTGTGCTTAAAAAGGGTAAATTTTAGTAGAATTATTGGTTATATAAGTTAAATAAATTAAGTTTATGTGCAATAGGTGATCGCTTTCCACCCAGGGGCATTATCCGGCTTCATTTAGTGTTATATCAATCAATAAGGTTGGCTATGATTATCAATTTAAAAATTCGCAAAACTTTTAATGTCTATTGTTTTCTAATTATAAAATATTATTTTGTATGATTATTAGTTTTATAATTAACACCACTATAAACAGATGTACTACCGATGCGCATGTTTTTATAATTGGTAGATAAACAATCCCGTTATAAACACTTATTAATTTCCCAGCTTAACTATAATTATATTTATTACATTAGCGTATGAAAAACTTAACAGTTTATAATATAAACTATCATATTATGCATTTATTATTAGTTATTATTGTAATTACAAACGTATAATTTAAATATTCATTATTTATAAGTCATTTAATCGTTAATCAATGTGTTATGATATTCAAACTCACGTGAAAATATCATTAGTTATATATACAGGGTGTACACCCAATATCTGAAAAAATTGAAAATACTTTATGATTTATGATTTTAGCTGATTTTTCTAATATGACCCCAATTATTAAGAGTAGCTTTAAGTAATTGATATTGATTATAGTATCAAATTGATACTATCAATGATTTTATGATCATAGTCAATGATTATAGTATCTCTCCTTCACAATATATCTACCATTAAATAAATACAATAGAATGGACAATATTTAACTAATATAAAATTGTATAATTAGCAAGCCCTGTGCTCAGCTTATGGGTAGATATCAGATAATTTATAACTTCTGTTTAATGAATGGAATAGTGCTTTATAATTTAGTTTATACCGTGATCAATTTAGTTCTTTGGTTATCGGTTGCGAAGATTTTTATTAAAAATTATATTGTGGAAAATTGCACAAATATAGCTTATGAACTTTTACTATATAACTTCATCAAGGCTATAGAATTTTTATGTCTTTATTACTAGAATTACTAGAATAATTAAAATATGAATTAAAAACAGTTACTGAAACTTTTTCAGATATTGTGTGCACACTATGTACAGTATTTGAAGTTTATTATTTTAATATTGCTTCATAAAAATACTAAATTAGTTTATATCGTGTTGAGATTTAAAAATATTTTTATATTAAAAATCAATAAATTTTCAAGGTATAGTCAAATCAAAATTACTAATATAACTAAACATAATATACTGTATTATATCTTATTTAATATTATTAATATAAATATTGTCATGTATTACCAATTAAATGCTGTGCCTAAATTATTATAATATCTATACGTTGACATACCAATCCAACATATTAGCTATTACAATTTATTATAAAATAAATTAAAATAAACAATGTCTGAAGTAATTAGTGTTAAAACTTCAAAACCATTTCAATCGCCTAAACGTAAGGCACGAAAAAGCAAACAAATTGATAGCAAAATGAATGCAATAATCAATAGGTATGAGAGGTTTTCGAGGCTAACCTACTGTACGGTATGTCGAGATATGGATGAATACGCGGCGGCCGTACGTACGCCTAATAATTGGCGACTATTTATGGTGATTATGATCAGGGTGGCATTGGCATTGACCACCTTAAGATTTCTGTGCACAGCGCTTATTACCGATCAACAAGTGCTTGATTTTATACTCGACTGGAATCACACTAAAATACGATACTTAATAAATGCTTGCGGTGGATCTGGGGGCTTTTGCATACTATTAGCCGCGATAATTATTACCTATCAAGAGCTATCAAAAACTTTATATATATTTGATTTTATTCATCAATTCAAGTATAATACGGTTAAATACCCGTTAAAGCGCCATGGTCATATCAAGTTTATCACCATACAAAACATTATGAGTAAATATTGCATGCCATTAGTGTTTATAATATTGTTCATTGATTTCAATACTATGGTCATGTATAACGATACTATAGTATTTATAAACAAGCCTACGATAACCAAATTGTGCGTGATGGTAATATTTTGGATCAACACAGTACTGGCAGTCATTATGATATCCGCTACGATATCGTGCGGTTTTATGCTATGGTTTACGTCATGTTATTATTTGAAATTAAAATTTCTGGAGATCTACCGTACGATCGCATTGAGTGTCAAATACGATAGCAAACGGCTATTAATGGCGGCTATCGTTGAACACCATTACTGGGAAATACAGACCAAACGATTCAACCATTTGTTTCGATGCATTACTTTCATCATCTATTATATGGCTATAATACCCATGCAATTAATACTATACATGGCGCATCACCCTGATACAAAAGGTTTGTATCGCATACTAGCCGTTATATTACTTTGCGCGGCTGTCTCCACCACCCTGTCCACGAATATACTGAGCGCCTGGATCTCTAAGGCCGCCCACAAACCACGCAAATTGTTATTGTCTTATATGTCGTCCCGTACGGCGAGGCTATCCGTGAGGGATAGACTGCGAGTGCAGCCATTCATTGAACGCCTGTCCACTGGACCGACAATCGGCTACTACTGCTATGATTTGTTTCCAATGAATAGTATTGTATTCTTTCAATATATACTCATTTCATGCGCTAATTATTTGAAAATAATATCATTATTTTAATGAAACAATAATATTAATTACAAGTAAGATATTGTTTTCTAGCAACTTTATTTAAATGAATAATGAAAATGTAATTTTATAAACTTTTAATTATTTTACTAGCAAGTTAGTGTAATTATACTGTTCTGTATAATGTATGAAATGAACGTGATTTTAGGTGAGTGTATGTATTAATAATCTGTAAACTGTAATTTGCTATTATATGTGTATTAAAATGTATATTAAAATATTTAATTAAAATAAATATTAATAGACTATTAAAATGTTTAATAGAGATATATGTATTTTTATTAATGATTTACAAAGTTATTGCAGTTAATCATTTGTGTTGTACTACCTGTTCGTGAATGGGACTGACATCGCTGACCACAATATCTCCGAGCATATGGCGCCGGTAGTCATGTATAGCGGACAACTCTTTAGGCATATAATCCTCAGCTGAAACACCACTAGAAGTGACATCAATGGTGGATATCAGGCGCTCAACGATAGGCCACACCATGTAATCGGTTAGACCGGGACATACATCCCCTAAAAAATACATCAAAAATCTTAAATACCACTAAATCAAGGGAACGGTATAAAAAATCTACAGAATACCTGTCCCCTTACATACAGAATATTCTGTAAACTTATCATTGAATACCTGATAAAAACTTTTTGTTAGCCTTTTTATCGGCTATTAATTGGTCCAACATTTAATTGGTCACCAGGCCACTGACTGATGGGCCCCTCCTTGCTGTGCAGCACCTGCTTATACACCGACATGTAGTCCCCGACGTTGCACACAAACTCCCTGTCCTTTGCCCACTGGTAAGGATCAGTAGCCCCGAGTTGCGGACCGTTACTATCTGTTGGGTAGTATTCATCCAAATAGTCACAGATTACTAGCGACTCGCTTAGGGTCTTGTCATCCCTGTCCCACTGGATCACCGGTACGGCTCCGGTATGGCTTAGTGGTGCTAACCATTCGCGCTTTTCACCCAGGTGCACGTTTATTATTTCATGCCTGGTAATATACAGATTATGTTTAATAAAATAATTTAAAATCATACAACTGAGAGAATTATATAATCATATAAATATGGTTATATTTAAAATAATATACTTGGTTATTTATTATTTTACTAAATAAATGGTCTTACTCAATACTTTTGGTTTTCAAAAAAAAGTCGTACTCTTTCAGCGTAGGGAGACATCGGGAAACTATACAGTCGTAGTACCGGTTTATTAGCCCTGAGTGGAAAGGGATCACCTTTTGGACATATAATTAATTAATCAACTTATATAACTAATAATTATAGTAAGAATTACCCTTCTTAAGTACACCGACGATAAATTTATCATTATCCGGGTTCATTTTGTGTAGTATCAATTAATAAATTTGGTTGTAATTATCAAATAAAAAATTTGCAAAACTTTTTATGTTTATTATTTTCAAATTATTATGTTGTATGATTCACTTATTACAGTAGTTGTATAATTCATAATATAAACAGATGTACTACCGGTGCGCATGTTGTTTTTATAATTGGTAGATAACATGACATAAACAATCCCGTTATAAACACTTATTAATTTTTCTACCTAGCTACAATCATGTTTAATACGTAAGCGTATGCTTTATGTAAAGCGTAAATAAACGTAAAATATTAATAAAAATTCAAATTAATTATATATAAGTGATACAATAATTGCGTTATAATTAAGTATAATATGTTAAATTAAAAATATATGCATATATATAATATTTAACACTTTCAATATGTTAATGATAAATATAAATATAATTTTTACAACTTGTTGTACGCGATCACAATCCTCAAAAACGCCACTAACTGGTCGAGTGTGGGACTGACATCCCTGACCACACTATCCCCGAGCATATGGCGCCGGTAGTCATGTATAGCCGGCAACTCTTTAGGCAAATAATCCTCAGCCGAAACACCACCGGAAGTGACATCAATAGTGGCTATCAGGCGCCCAATGATAGGCCACACCATGTAATCAATTAGACCGGGACTGACATCCCCTAAAGAATACACCAAAAATTAGTTATATTTAAAAGAGGGGAACGGTATCTAAAGATACAAAGTATTTTTAAAACTATCATTGAATACCTGATAAAAACTTTTTATTATCCATTCTATTGGCTATGAATTTATCCAACTTTTTGAGCTCAGTCTGAATGGTCTGCCAGTGTTTGGTGGGACTGTCCTTAGTGTGCAAAACCACATGAAAACCACACGTCTCCATATACTCGTCGACACCTGTGGCGAACTCTCTGTCCTTTTCCCTTTGGTGAGGATCGGTAGCCCCGAGTTGTGGTCCGGTATTTGGGTAATCATTGTCCAGAAACTCGCAAATTACGTCCGATTCGCATATGATTTTGTCATCCCTGTCCCACTCGAGCACCGGTATCTTACCCGCGGGATTTAATGTTGTCAACCAGTCCGGTTTATTACCCAGGTGCACGTTTACTATCTCGTGCCTATTCATATTTAGTAATAATTAGCGATTTATCAACTACACTATAAATGATTTCATCAAATAAATGTGCTTACTCAATATTTTTGGCTTTCATAACGAGTCGCACCCTTTCCCCATAGGGAGACATAGAGAAGTTATACAGTCGTGGCACCTGTTTGTTAGGTCTGTGAGGTTTGGGATCACCTATTAGATAAATGTATATTGGCCAATTAACCAGTCAATTTTATAAATTAGACATAATATATCATATAAAATATAATATATTAAAATGGTACCATACCCTTTTTAAGTGTTCCGGACAAAAAATTAAAGTAACTCGGGTGTATCACCCAGGTCTTTATAACTAGACCTAAAAACCAAAGTTTGTTAAGCATTGCGAGATTATTTGGTCACTTTATACACGAAATGATTTTCATTAGTAATTGTTTAAAACTTTGTTTATATTGTTTATTATTGAATAGGTTTCAAAAACATTGTACGAAAACAACACTATGATTTAAAATTAAGCAAATTGCTTTTAATTAAATATGTATTATATTTTATATTGAATAATATAGTAAATACGATATTGTAGCAATAACTCATTGTCAATAAAAACTATTTATTATATTCTGTTATTCTACAATGCCAAAATGTTCACGTGCTAAATTACCAATGCACCTGTGTGCGCATGGTCATACGTTAAGTACGAATAGTGCAAAAAGTGTAAAACAGTTAAAAATTAAAGTTTTAAACTCCCATTTACCAAGGTCCCATGGTAAAACAAAACAGGTTTAGCAAATAATAATACATTAATCAATGATTTGCGTTCAACAATTAAACAACTGAATATAAATTATTATATGAACTATTTTCACTATTTTCACTATTTGCACTATTTGCACTATTTGCACTATTTACACTTACCTACAATATCATACATCTACCATACCAGTCCCTTGGAGCAATATTATCACAAAATACATACATGCTCGATCAAAGTTTTTTTTGGTATTTATATAAGTTAACAAATATTTTTCAAACAAACCTCAAGTGTTTTCGAATATATTTAATTTTATCGTGCATAATTTACAAGTTTTGATAGTAACTGTAATCATGACTGAAATAGCCGCTAGTAACTACAAAAAAGGTTTGCATTAAGTCTATAATGAATTTATAATTAATAGTATGCTATGGAAAAGTGTTTATCACATAGCATGCTAGTTATTGTTTTGACAAAAATTAACCAGTGAATTGTCTAATGAATAGGTGACCCCTTCCCGCCCCGCACCGACCTAAACAAACTGCGTGTGTATAGCTACCAGACGTGTCCGTACGCCGAGAGAGCGCTGTTAGTATTGGCCGCCAAAGGCATTGAGTGAGTATTCAATCAATTAATACATTATTTATTAGATTTATTTCCGCAACTTTAGGACAAAATAAATTATTTCGCAAAATAACGAACTACTTAACTAGTATCA